GCTCCCGGACAGGGGGCTGCCCCGTTCCCACGGCCACCGGTGTGGGCTCGCTCTCGCCCCTCGCCCCAGGGCCCCGAGTCCGGGTGTCTGTGTCGAGCCCCTGCACCTGTCAGGTGTTCCTGGGGTCACGGGCCACGTGGAGGGCAGAGGCCCCGGCTGCCACTGTCCCCGAGACAAGCTGCCCCGGGTCACAAACTCTCAGCAGAACCGTGAGGGGCCCGGGGGCTCCGGCTGCCCTGTAGCCCCGAGGGTCTCCCCCGCACCCGTCCCCACCCCCGCCCCCACCCCCGCAGGAAACCTTGCCCTGTGATGGGCATTCCCAGCCCTTCGCTGGGGGTGAGCCGCACTCCTCCAAGTTCGCAGAGAATGCCACGGCCGGTCGTGTTCCCTGCACCAGCGGGGCCCCCTGTTGCCCTGTCCCACCCGAGACACGTCGCTCGGCACCGTCCGGGGGCTCCCGTCTGCAGGAGGGGCCTGGGGGGCACCCAGACGCCTGCCAGGGCCCAGGGGTGGGGCGGGGTGGGTTGGGGGGCTTCAGGGGTCAGTGGAACAAGGTCAGGCCCCTGCCAGCAGCAGCCAGCGGACAGCAGGGGGAGCCCGGAACCCTGCTGATCTTGGCCTGGCCTTGGTCACCTGGGCCCCGGCCCTGCTGCCCCAGCCTCCTAGGCCCAGGCGTGCGCACGGGGACTGGCCCCTCATCTCAGGGCCCTGGCCGCCCTGGGGATGGCCCCTGGGGAGCTCGAGAAAGGCCCACGAGAGGGTACATGTGGGGACAGATCCTGCACTACCCAGCGCTCAACACGGTCACGTGCAGGCCACCAGCAAGACAGAGCGGCGGCCCAGCCAGTGTCCAGCCCCGAGGGAGGGCTGGGAGCCGCAGAGACCTCACCGGAGCGGCAGGGACGCTCTGGTCAGATGAGGGCCTGGGGGGGCCCTGTTCGCTGCTGCCTCCGTGTGTGTGTGTGTCCGTGTCCCACGATGCTTGCTCAGGGCCCCCACCCACTGTCCCCACCGGACGGGCCCCCAGCAACCCAGAAACCCCCGAGGTGACCGAGAAACGGGCCACCCTCCCTGTTAGCCCACAGAGCCAGCCTGGTGGCCCAGGCCCCCTTGTCTGCTGGCTGACAAGGGGCGGGAGCACCTCGGCCGCCCCCCCCACGCCCTCACGCCTGTTGCAGAGGGGCCCCCGTGCAGCTGCCACGGACCTGGGGGGCCTGGGGAGGGGCAGGGCCACTGGGGCCGGGGGGAGCTGAAGTGGTGGCAAGGCGCTGAGCTCTGAGTGAGCAGGGCCGGGCAGGGCCGGGCAGGGCCGGGACTCAGGGGTCCCCGGGCCCACCGAGAGCGAGGTCGGCCAGGGGGCCTCGAACCCGCGGGACCACCCGGGCCTCCAGGGGCCCAGGAGCAGGGAACCCGGGACAGGCTTCTCCGATGCCACACAGAGAACACGGTCCTGGGCCCCGGGGGACCCGCCGGAGCCCTCTGGAGGCCTGGGCCCTGGGTGGTTGCAGGGGTCCGTGCCCCCCGAGGTGGGACCCCCCGCCGCCGCCCGCCTCTGCCCCCACCCCCAGCTTGGGACGTGGGGCGTGCCCCAGGCTGACGCGTGCGGGGGGGGGGGGGGAAGCGGGTGGAGGGTCCGCCGTGCGCAGGAGGCGGCCCCAGACCCGCGGGCAGCCCGTCCGGGACGTGCGCTCCTCCAGGAAGGCTTTGATCGCGGCGCGTCCCCAGCCCGAGGGTCCCTGGCTCCCCTCCCTGCCCTTCCCGCCCTGCCCCTGCTTGCCGCCACACCCGTAAACCGGGTTTGCCTTGGGCCGCCGCCAAACCCCGGAATGTGCCTGCTGCGGCGAGCCGTTCCCGGAGCGGAGCGACAGAGCACTGACTGTCTCTGAGACGGGGGCACGGGGGGGCGGGGGGTCAGGGGCAGGGGCACGGCCGCCCAGAGTCACGCACGAGCCAGGCGGGGAGACGTGGGCACCGGGTGAATGGGCTCCCACAGGCCGGCGGGACTCGGATGGGGCCGCCGGGGGCCCCAGGCCTGGACGGGGGCCAGCGTGAGGCGTGGGCCCGGCCGCTGAGGGTCCACGCTGCCGAGTCCCCGGCGGGAGGGGCGCAGAGCACCTCGTGAAGCGCAGGCGGGGTGTGATCCGGGCGCTCAGGAGTGGGGGGCCAAGTCCAGAACCCGGGGCCGGGGGAGGCTCTGGACGCCTGTGGTCGGAGGGCGTGTCGCACAGGACTCGGCCCCGTGGGGCGCGGGGGTCAGCTCTCCGTGCCACGGACGGGGCCCTGGGGCCCTTGCCTGAGGGGTTCGGATCCCTCGGGTGCCGCAGGGCCCGTGGAGGCTCCGGGCCCCCGGGGGAGGGGCGCAAGGGTGGCACAGAGCTGGCTCCCGCAGGCCAGGCCGCCCGTGACGGGGCCGGAAACACACGGGACTTGGAGTTGGCCCTCGGGGGCCCGAGACCTGCACGTGGGCCGGCCTGGGAGGCAGGCGGTGGGTGGGGGGGGGCAACACCACCCAAGACCCCAAGGAGGGGGTTTTAGGCCACGGGAGAACAAAGGGCTTGAACGACACAGGTGGGGGGGGACCCCGACACTCGGGTGGTCGGGGAGGGCCCCCGAGGCCCCGGAGACAGGCCAGCGGCTGCCGTCCGTGCTGCTGAGACGTGCAGGGGAGCGGGCACAGCTGCCCCCCAGCCCTCAGGAGACGTGCCCGGAGCTGTGGGGCCCGGGGCCGCGGGGTCCAGAGCCTGAGCCCCGGACGATGGGGACCCAGAGGTTCAGGGGGACAGGCACCCCTCCCACCACCCCGTCTGCTCAGGGCAACGAGGGCGGGGTGCTGGCCCCGAGCCCAGCAGGGTGCAGGGCTGTGCAGAGCCACCCGGATGCCTGCAGGTCCAAGGAGGTGGCTGCCAGCGGTGCCAGCGGCACCAGTGGAGGTGGCCCGGGGCCCAGGCGCCCACACGCTCACTCGGAGTCCGGGGCCCAGAGAAGGGGGGCCCCAGGCCCCCAGCTTCGCGGTGGGACAGCCTCCAGCGTCAGGGCTGAGAAAGGCTGGGAGGACCGGATGCCAGGGGTCCACCCCAGCTCTCGAGGGAACAGGGTTTGGGACCCAGAGCCCCAAGATAGTCAGGGCTCAGCTCTTCGGGAGACACCCTGAAATGGGGTGCAGGCCCCCACACTCACACTAGTGGGGTGCAGGCCCCAGACGCGTCTGGGGAGGGGACCCCCCTTCGGAGACGCAGGCATGGCGTCCGCGGCACCTGGGCGGCGGGGTGGGCGTGCACAGGAGTAGCACAGAGAGCCCGCGGCAGGAATGAATGGGACCCACACAGGCAAAGAGGGCGGGCGGGGCAGGGCGCCCGAACCGCAGGCCGCGGCCGCTGGCCTGGCCCGGCACGCCAGCCGAGCAAGACGTGCCAGTGGGGGACTTGGGCACCGAGGGGCCCAGCAAGGGGTGCGGGCTGTCTAGGCCTCCGGGTGACCGGGAGCAGAACCCCAGGGCCCAGGCCGTGGGTGCGGAGGATGGAGGCCGCACGGGAGCTTGGGGGTCAGCAGTGTCCCCGGGGCAGTCACAGGAGCGGTGAAAGGTGCTCTGGATCTCGGGGTGCCTGGGTGAACGCAGCCCGCCCAGAGCTGCAGGGGAGCCAGGCCCCAGAGTCCCAGGGGCCCTTGGAGGTGCAGTGGGGGGCGCCGTGCAGGCAGCCCCAGGAGGGACCCAGGGCCTGTCGTGGGGTCCTCGGGTATCTGACACGGAGGCCGGAGCCCCCCCGTGCGGTGGGTGGGTCACACACACACACACACACACACAACACAAGCCGTCGGACGGTGGGGTACGTCCCCTCGATTCCCAGGCGAATGGGTTACAGTTCACCCGGAAACTCCGAAGAACGAGGTTCACGTCCCCCAGAAGCCCAGACTCACAGAGAAACGCACGCAGACTGAAAAGGGGGTGCATGGCGCCCCGAAACCAGCCCTGCGGCACTGACGCCCGGGAGGTGGGGGCGCAGGCTCCCGGGCGAAGACGGCATGGGCGGTCTGATCGGAGGAGCCCGGGCACCCACAGGCTGGGAGCCGGCAAACGGGCCCGGGGCTCCCCAATCCCCAGCGGACGGCGGGGAGCCCAGCACCCCGTGCTCAGCTGTCCCGGGCCCGCAGGAACGGGGTGCGGGAGCTGGGGTCGGCGGGGGCCAGGTGCCGGCAGCTCCCAGCTCCCTCCACCAGCATCTGCCGTGAGTGCCAACCTCAAACATCCCCCCCCCGGTCCCCCCCTGCCCGGGCCACCCCAGGGGACGCCGAGCAGGAGCCCCACCCACCCGCGGGGTCTCAGGGAGGCGCCGGCTGCCAGGCTGCCCAGGGCCCCCAGCCCGGCTCTGTGCGGTTCCCCCTCCTGCTCTGGGACCTCAGCCGCCGTCTGGTCCCGGGGGTGCCCGCCTCTTGGGGAGGCCTGAAGAGGGTGGGGTGACGCCTACGGAGCACTCGTGACTGGCTGCACCCCAGGGCCCCTCGGGGGTGGGGGTGGCTGGCTTTGGGCCACCCTCCGGGGCCGCCCCGTTCCCCGAGAGCAGGGCGTTGCCCGTGGCGTGTCTGCAGGTCCCCTGCTCGGACCTGTGCCGGCGGCGCCTGGGCCCTCTGCCGTTGGAGCTTCTTCCAAACCGCACATCGCCGGGGCGACCGCGGAGGCACCCCGTGGGCCGCGTGCCCGGGGCCTCTCGTGACTGGCACAGGCACACACGCGTGCACACGCGTCCCACCGGCTGTGTCCACTGAGCAGCCTCGGAGCCCGGGCAGAGGGAAGTCCTGCCCGACCAGCCCTCTGGACGGCCCTGGGGGGGACAGGCCTCCCGTTAAACGTTAACCAGCCCAGGTCTGGCCACCGGCCCATCATGGCTTCCTGGAGACACCCGGCCCGGGGAAGGGGGGGCCCTCGGCGCTGGGCCCAGGGACCTGCCCCAGAGGGACTGGCCCAGATAAACTGGCCAGAGCCGAGGGCCGGGGCTCAGAGCACAGGTCCTGCTGGGCCCGCTGACGCCCCCGGGAGCAAGGTGGCCTGGACCCCGGCTCAGCCGGAGGCTGGGGCACAGGTGGAGAAACCCCAGGAAGGTTCTCTGGGCTCCGGCGTCCTGGGCGGCAGCCGGGCCGGGTCTTGGCCTGGAGTCAGTGCGGACCCCGGCGCTGCCCCGAACACGCTGGGCAGACTCGGCCCGCGGCACCCCCGCTCCCCTCGCCGGCCCCAGGCCTCCAGTGCCCAGTGCCGGCGGCCCCAGGAAGCCACCGTCCTTCCGATCCCCACGTCCTCCTGACTCAGGGCCCTCCTCGAAGGACACAGCTTTCTCAAACCCAAAGCCCCTCCGAGGCTGACCTCCTCGAGCTGCCCCGGCCGAGGGTCAGCCCGGGTGGGCGGCCGCCCACTCTGTCCAGCCCTCTGGGAGGACAGGGGGTGGGGGTTGCCCAGAGGCCTGGCGCCTGGGGCTCAGGAGGCCCCCCCTCCCCGGGGAGTTCCTGGCTCCTGAGGGCCGGCAGCTCCGGCGGCCCTGAGGTGGGGCTGCCCGTGGCCCTGCCTCCCACGCCCTGTCACCCACCAAGGAGGCTCTCTTGTGGGGAGAGGCAGAGAACGCCCGGCTCTGGCCACCGCCTCCGAGCCGTGCCCGCCGTGCCCGGGTAAGGCCTGCCAGCCGGGCGGGCCACGGGGTCAGCGCCAGGTGAGGACGCACCGCCTCTGGGGGGCTGCCACCCAGCGTTTGGGGCAACCCTCCCCTCCCAGGGAAGGCCCACGGAAACTTGCTCCCACTGGAGCCCAAAGGATCCCAGGCGGGCCGGAGACAGAGGGTTAGTGAGCGTGGCGGTGCTGGGGGCCGGGCCGGGCTCACAGGGAAGTCCCCAGGAGGGCAGCCGGCTGCCCCCCCAAGCTGGGGAAGCTGGGACTCGGGCCTGGGAGGGGACACGGGGTGGGATCCAGGCCGGCGGAGTTCAGGGCAGGCCCAAGGAAGGGCCAGGGGCGACCAGAGTGGGCTTCCCGGAGGAAGGGCAGCTCGGGCAGCCCTGGAAGGTGCAGGGGACGGGGGTGGGGAGGGGCAGCTCTGGCGTGGTGCAGCAGGGGCCGCCGGGCCGCCCGGAAGGAGGGTGCAGGGCTGCGCCTGCAGACTGGCTGCAGGGACCCCGGGGTGGGGGCTGGCTACAGGGTGGGGGGTAGAGGGGGACTGCACTCTGGACGGAGGCCGTCTCCCTCCCTTTGCTGGGGAACTCGGCGTGGGCATCTGGCGGGGGAGGGACTTCTGCAGCCAGGCCACCGAAGACCGGGCAGCCCCAGCTGGAGCACAGGAAGGCCTTCCGGCCTGCTGGGCGGTGGGCAGGAAGGGCCCCACCTCGCACGCACTAGGGAGGGCGAGGAGGAGGAGGAGGAGACCCCAGCGGACCTCCCGGGGCCTGTGAGGGTCACCCCATGGGGTCCACCTTCCCCTCGGCCCCTGTGTACTTCCCCCCAAGCCCCGGGCCAGGAGGCAGGACCCGCGGGCTGCAGGATCTCGTGCTGCAGACAGCGCCACCTGGTGGCACCACATCCCCGAACCTTGACCACCGTGCAGACCTTGTGGTCCAGAGGGACCCTCGGCCTCCCAGGGCCTCCCCAGGCCTCCCCAGGCCCCGCTCTGCTCTCTGGAGGGCCCTGTGACCCTCTGGGGCGAGCTTCCAGGCGTCTCCTGTGGCCCTGGGGGGACGACCGTCCCCAGGCTGGGTCAGGAATCCGGCCGGACCCGCTGTGTCATGCCCCTGTGACTCAGCGTGCACACTGGCCCTGAGCTGACCCAGGTGAGCGCACCAGGGGAGAGCAGGTCAGGGGACAGGCCCAAGGCCGCACGCACGCACGGGGGCCCCGCACACACGCGTGTACACACAGAGGGGGACTCAGCCCCCACCCCTGCCGGCCCCGAGTTCTCCACCATGACAGTCTCCATCCGACGGAGCCCTCTAATTCCGCACGGGCTCCGGTGGCCCCGGACGGGGGATGGACTTGGAGTTCCCCGTGGGGAGCAGGGGCATCTCTGCTTCTGCCCACCACCCCCCTGCCTCCGGCAGCTGCGCCAGGGACCCTGCCGGGCCCGCAGGGGCGCTCAGGCCTCCCCAGGCCCCCGGTGCCGCCCCGGCCCTCTGCTTCGCGCGGGCCCCGGGCAGGACACGTGCGGCCTCCCGCTCAGAAACAGTTAGCCCTTCGAGGTGGAGGCGGCGGGCGTCACACGGAGCCCGGGCTCCGCCGGGGCCCTCCTCTGTCCCCTGACCGGCAGGGGCCAGCCAGCCCCCGAGGGTGGCAGTGCCGGCCGGGGCACCTCCCTCTGGATGTTCGGGGGTTGGGTCGGCTCTGGGAGGGGGGCTGCCTGGGCCAGCCCACCACGGTGGGGGCACTGAGTGAGGATCACGTGTGTGTGTGTGGGGAGGGGGTCCCCTCAGGACCACGGGGGGCTCCTGCCTGTCCCCCCTGCATGCTCGGCCCCCGGCTGGCGGAGACTCTGGCCTGGATGGGTGCTTGGTCATTTCTGGAGGGGGCGGCCTGGGCTGAGCCCCCTGAGGGGAGCAGGGTGGCAAGGCTCTTGTGGGTGGGAAGGGGGAGACCCGGGCTGGAGGAAAGGAGCCCCTCAGCTGCAGGTGCGACCCGGAGGGAGGGAGGCTAGGAGGGGCCGAACCAGAGGGTCGGTCGCCGGTGGGGCTGGGGACACAGGGTGCCCCATCGTGGGGTCAGCCCCCCAGCTTGGAATCCTGGGCCCCTGCTGAGGGAGGAGCCGGCCTGGCCAGGTGCGCTCCCCCCACCCCTGGGCCCCCTCGGCCCCAGGCAGGCGCTGCGCTGGCCCGCCCTCCTCCCTCCCCCCTCGCCTAAGGGTGGCAGGTAGGCAGGTCGGGGCCGGCGGCTGCTGAGTCAGTCTGTGAGGAATGTTCTGGCCGCACCCAGCTGCACCCTGTGCCTGCCTGCCCCCGCCCCCCTCCCTCCCCTTCAGGTGCTCTGGCCCCGCGCCTGCCGTGCCAGGAACGCACCCGCAGCCCCGGCTTGCCGAGACCGGCTCACGCCGGCACCTGGCCCCCTGCTCCCCCTGCCTGTTCGCCCCGTGACCCCAGCAGAGCCCCGGCCCCGCGAGCCCCCTTCGCCGTGTTCCCAGGTCACTGGGGGGCCGGGGCTCACGTGTGTGCACGTTTTCCCCGCGTGACAAGGAAACCACAAGGGCCTGAGGTCGGGGGGTGGGGCGGGATGACACGGGACCCCGGGTGACGACCCCCAAGCAGGGCCCTGGGCCGAGGCAGAGGGACCGGGACCAGGGGGGCTTCCTGTAGGAGGAGGCCCCGCCGTGCCGGGTGGGGGGCTCTGCAGGGAAGGCCGGTGAATGCAGGGCCCAGGCTGCTCAGGCCGGCCTGCTGGGCCAGGGCCGGGGGCTGCGCAGGGGCCGGCGGGTGGGCTCGTGGCTGGGAAGCTGGCACTTCGGCCAAAGCCCAGAGCCTCCCTCCCCTGGGCTCCGCTCACAGCCGCCGCCCCGGCTGCCCCCAGCCCAGGCGGACCCCAGCGGGCTGCCGCGGGGTGGGTGGGGTGGCGGGCAGGGGCCTGAGGGGCCATTCCCTCCGGTGACGCGCCCCCCCCCGGCCGTCTCCCCTCAGCCAACAGAGCAGGGAGATGGGGCGCCCCCCAGAGCCCCACGGCGCCCCGGCCCCAGCGGGGACTGCAGCTGCGGGGGGCACCACGGCCGCACCCGGGCCGGTCCCGGGCCTCGTTGACGGGACGGCCTGTGAGTTCGGGGCCTGGGAGGGGCGGGGGGCTGGCTCGGCCCGGCGGGGGCATCTCAGGCCCACCCCTCGCCCACCCCAGGGCCCCGCTGGACACTCGTGGCCGTTGCTGTCGCCACCGGCGTCCTCGCGGTGTCCTGCCTCCTCTGCGCCCTGTGCTGCTGCCGCCGCCGGCGCCGCAGGAGGAAGCCCGGGGACCAGGAGGCCGTGGGGCTGGGCAGTGCCCGGAGCAGCACCACCGCCCACCTGGTGAGCAGCGGCCCGCCGTGCGGCTCAAGGGCCAGGCTCGGGGGCCCGGGCCAGCTCAGCATGGTCAGGGCTGAGCTCAGCCCCCGGGCGGCCGGTGCGCCCAGGAGAGGAGGCCAGGGGCCTTCCCGGAGGGGCCCACGGGGAGAAGGGGAGGCGGGCAGGCAGGGTCAGGGCCCGAGGGCTGGGACAGCACCGCGGGGGTCCGGGCACGTTCTTGAGGAGAGGAGAGGTGCCAGAGAGGGACCCGGGGTCAGTGTGTCCGTCCCAGCCAGGCTCAGAGCTGAGCTGAGGGCGTGAGCCCTGGTGGTGGCCTCGCCCGGAGGTGGGCGGTCTGGTCCGACCCAGGGCTTGGCATTGCCGCATGGGGGCACCACCGGTTGGGGCCCCTCCCCCGCCAGGTGCAGCCAGAGGTGGACGGCGGGGAGTCCGGCCCGGGGGGAGCCCCGCAGTGGGGGCGCCTGCAGCTGTCCCTGGAATACGACTCCGGGAGCCAGGAGGTGAGGGCCCCCGGGCTGGTGCAGAGGCGCGGGGTGCGGGGCGGACCAGGGGCACCCTGGCTGAGCTGACCCCGCTCCCAGGTCAGGGTGGGCCTCAAGCAGGCAGTGGACCTCAGGGCCAGGGGCCCCGGCGGCACGGCAGACCCCTACGCCCGCGTGAGCCTGTCCCCCCCGGCCGGGCGCGCACACGAGACCAAGGTGCACCACGGCACACTCTGCCCGCTGTTCGATGAGACCTGCTGCTTCCCCGTGAGTCTGGGAGGGGGGGTTGGCGGGGGGGTGCCGGGGTGGCGGGGGTCCCCCCCCCTCATCCCCAGGCCCGCAGGTCCCGCCGCAGGAGCTGCCCCGAACCACGCTGCGGGTGCAGGTGCTGGACTTCAGGCGTTTCTCGCCGCACGAGCCCCTGGGCGAGCTCCGCCTGCCGCTGGGCGCCGCGGGCCTGCCGCACGTCCTGGAGCTCTGGCACCAGCTGGGCCCGCCGGGCGCCACCGAGGTGAGGCCGCCGGCCCCCTGGCTTCAGCCCGGCCCTGCCCGGGGCGCCCGCACACAGACCCAGCTCACCCCCGCGCCCGCCCGCAGGCTGAGCCGGCGGGGGAGCTGTGCGTCTCGCTCCGGTACGTGCCCAGCGCGGGCCGGCTGACCGTGGTGGTGCTGGAGGCCCGGGGCCTGAGCCCAGGGCTGGCAGGTGAGCGCCGGCCGGCGCCCTCCGCGCAGGCACAGGGGGCCCCGTGTTCGGCCGTCAGGCCCGTGACGCCCCCACCCCTTCCTCCTCCCGCCCGCCCAGAGCCCTACGTGAAACTGCAGCTGGCGCGGGGCCGGAGGAAGTGGAAGTCGAGGAAGACCTCTGCCAGGAGGGGCACGGCCGCCCCGTACTTCAACGAGGCTTTCACCTTCCTCGTGCCGGTCAGCCAGATCCAGGTGGGCTGCCCGCAGGGGAGGGCGGGCGGGCTGGCCCTCCTCCAGGGCCAAGCTGACCGCTGCCTGTGTCCTCCCCCGCCGCCCCTCTGCCTGCCCCTGACCAGAGCGTGGACCTGGTGCTGGCCGTCTGGGCTCGGGGCCCGCGGCTCCGGGCCGAGCCCGTGGGCAAGGTGGCGCTGGGTGCCCGGGCCTCCGGCCAGCCCCTGCAGCACTGGGCGGACATGCTGGCCCATGCCCGGCGGCCCATCGCCCAGTGGCACCGCCTGCGGCCCCCCGGGGAGGTGGACGAGGCCCTGGCCCTGCGGCCCCGACTGCGCCTGCCCTTGCCTGGCCCCTGAAGGCACCCCGGACCCCCCAGACTGACTTGTAGGAGCCTGTCCAGACTGCCCTGGGGCCACCGCAATAAACGCTCGCTCCCACCCCCCTCGCCTCCTGTCCTTCCTACGCCCTCGGGGACATAGTAAGGTCGGGGCCCCCACCAAGGGGGGAGGCCTCCTCCCCAGACTCGTCCAGGCCCTGAGGCCCCTGAGCAATGCCTGACCCATGGGTGCAGAGAAGGGGGCCCCTCAAAGCCCAAAGAGGACAACACGGGGAGGTGGGGAGCCCTCCCCTCCCCAGGGGGGCTGCAGTGTCGGTGACCGGGGGAGGGGAGTGGGCTAGAGGCAGCCGCGCAGGCACACGGTGGGCTGTCAGGAAGCACTTGGGGCGGGGGGGCGATGGCAGAAAGAATGGGCCCCAACCCCAGGGGCTGCCACAGCCCCTGTCAGAGCCCGCAAACCTCGGGGCGGACGCCCGCAGGGCCTCCCCCCTGTGGGCAGCAGGGGGCAGCAGACGCCTGCGGAAGACGCTGGGGCCTGGGGGAGGGGGGCCCGGCCTGGCGGGAAGAGCGGGCGGCTCTGGCCCCGCTCACCGGGCGGCCCCGCTCCCCCAGAGCCCCCCCCCAGGCCCAGACACCCCGCGCGCGGAGGGTGCCAAGTCAGGGCCCTCCGCATGCCTGCGCTGGGTGGGGGCCGCGGGGCCCCGGCCCCTCGGGTCAGGGAGGGTCCCGGCAGGGCCTCCGCATGCTGGATGGGAGGACGTGTTCTGAGTCGTGCAGGAACAGCCCTCGGGTGGGGCGTCCTGTTGGCGGCACGTCCAGGGCGTCCCCCGCCTGCTCCTGGGTGGGCAGGCGGCGGCACGCCCCCACCCCCGGGACCCCCGGCCCCCCTGTGGGCCCAGAGGCCCCGTTGGGGGGGGCCAGGCCTCACTCTGGAACTGGCTCGGGGAAAGGGGGGGCACAGCCAGCTTGTGGCAGAGACGCCCCCCGCCCCCCCCGGGCTGGAAGGGAAAGGGGGTGCTGCAGGGGAGGTGGCTGCCGTCCCCGGGCGGACGCCGCGGTGTGGACCCTGTGCAAAGCCCAGCAGGGCCAGGGCCCCGGGAAGCCCGCCGCTGGCCCCCGGCCGCGCACCCACCCCGGCCCCCGAGGTCCCCGGAGGCCGCGCACAGCTGCCCGCGGGCTCCTTGCAAGGAGCAGGAATGTCTCCAACCCGTCACCAGTCCCTAAATAGAGCAACTCGACCTCGGCCACCCCCCACCAAGACTTCTTGGACCGGACGGCAGCATGTGGCCGGGCCAGGGCCCGGCGGCCTGGGCAGGTGGGGAGGTCCCTGCGCCCCCATTGGTCTGAGGAGGCCTCCATGTCCTTTCCGAGCAGGGGCCCAGCCTGGGGGAGGACATTTATACCCCTCCCCCGGGGCCCACCAGCCCAAGTCGCCACCGCCCGCCCGACCTCGCTCCCAGTGCAGCGGCCCCGACACCAGGTGAGGCGGCCGGCCCGTGGAGGCCGGGCACCTGTGCCGCTCGAGGGAGCCCAGAGGGGGACGTCCTGGGGCGGGGGGCTGGGGGCTGGGGGGCTGCCGCCAGCCGCCCTCCGTGGGGGGCTTCCACGGATCTCACAGCCAGAGAGACGCAGCGGGGTGGGACTCGGGGTGGGCAGGGGTCTTGGCCGGTCCTCGGGGGCCAGGCCTCCTCTCTGGGACCCCGGGAGGGGTCTTCCTGTGCAAGGACGCCCGGACGGGGCTGGGGACCGGCCTCTCTCTCGCGCGGGCACTTGGGCCCCGAGCCGAAGGAGCCGCACTAAAAATAGCGGGGTGGCTCTGGCGGCCACCTGTGCTGGCCCGGCCGGGCCCGCCTCCCTCGGGGACAGCTGCGCACCCCAGGCCCTGCCGGGATATTCTGGGATGCTTTCTCCTCTCCCTTCGCGCCCCAGGGAATTCCAAGGCATCACCCCGCCCCCCGCCCCGGGGAGGCTGGAGCTGGGGGCCAGGCAGCAGGGGGGCTGCGCCCACCCCCCACAGTCTGTGCCCCTCACACCCCGTCTCTCTCCCCCACAGGCTCTCAGCCCAGGACCTCAGGATGGGGGAGTAAGTGAGGTCCCCAAGTCCGGTGCCCCTGCCAGCCCCTCCTGCCACCCAGGGGCGGGGGTCTCTGCCCGCCCTGCCCACCCCCCCCCCCCGTCCCCACCCGCCCCGTCACAGGTCCCTAACCTCTCTCTTCTCTCCCCCACCCCCTCCCCTCCCCCTCCCGGGGCAGTGATGAGGTGAGTATCTTCTCGGGGGTGGAGCATGCAGGGCAGGACCCCCGCTTGGGGTGAGCCGGAGGCCGGAGTTTCAAGGCCCAGGACGACCGCCCAGCCCACCCTGCAGACAGCGACGCCACAGAGGAAGTGGTCCCGGCGCCAGGGGGAGTGGGGCTTCGGCTCGGTCGCCCCGGAAATGGCTTCTCTCGGATTACTGCACCCCGCCCCCACCCCTGCCCGGCAGGGACCCCCGACCCTCCCTGTGTCCTCTGGGCGCGGCCACTTCCCTGCACCCACACGCGCCCCCAAGCAGCCCGGGGCCCAGCCGCCCCGAGCAGCAGGCCCCGGCTGGGCGTTGCACATGCGGGAGGGTGGGGGGGCCCGCGTGCGGTGGCAGGGTGCGGGACGGGGGGCCCCGTGCGGGTGTGCGGGCCGGGGGCCCTGACTCCACCTCTCTCCCCTCACGCCTTGCAGAAGCGCAACCGGGCCATCACGGCCCGCAGACAGCACCTGAAGGTGGGTGCCGCCCGGGGCCGGGGGGCCGTGGCGGGGCGGCGCGGGCCGAGCAGCCGGCCCACGGCCCCTCACCGCCGCCCGCGGCCTGCCCCCCACAGAGCGTGATGCTGCAGATCGCGGCCACGGAGCTGGAGAAGGAGGAGAGCCGCCGGGAGACGGAGAAGCAGAACTACCTGGCGGAGCACTGTGCCCCGCTGCACATCCCCAGCTCCATGGCCGAAGTGCAGGTACCGGCGGCCGCCCTGCCTCGGGCTCCCCGCCACCGGCCGGCCGGGCGGGCGGGCACGGGGTGGGGGGCGGCCCGGCGGGGGGTCCTGGGTCAGCACAGCCCGCGCCCGCCCCCCTGCAGGAGCTCTGCAAGCAGCTGCACGCCAAGATCGACGTGGCCGAGGAGGAGAAGTACGACATGGAGATGAAGGTGCAGAAGAGCACCAAGGAGGTGAGCGGGCGGCCGCGGGGCTCCGTGCGAGGGGGGGACGGGGGGCCTGGGGGGGGGGGCTCTGGCCCTGCCGGCCGCTGCCCAGCCCTGCCCCCATCCTCCCCCGCAGCTGGAGGACATGAACCAGAAGCTGTTCGACCTGCGCGGCAAGTTCAAGAGGCCGCCGCTGAGGAGGGTGCGCATGTCGGCCGACGCCATGCTCAAGGCCCTGCTGGGCTCCAAGCACAAGGTGTGCATGGACCTGCGGGCCAACCTGAAGCAGGTCAAGAAGGAGGACACCGAGAAGGTGCGAGGCCGGGGGTCCCTGCCCCCGGGGGAGGGGGGCCTGGGGGGCGGGGGGGGGAGGGCCTTGGGGACGGGACGGCAGGGCCCGAGCCGCCTCTGCCCGCCCCCAGGAGCGCGATCTGCGCGACGTGGGCGACTGGAGGAAGAACATCGAGGAGAAGTCCGGCATGGAGGGCCGGAAGAAGATGTTCGAGTCCGAGTCCTAGGCGCCCTGCGGCCGGCAGCGTCCGCCGCCCGAGGGCCCGCTCGTGCGGCTGTCAATAAAGACTCCCGAACCCACGACTGGTCTGCTGTGGTCCTGTCCCGCCTCTCCGCCCGCCCCAGCCCTGGGCGCCGCGTCCAGGGGAGGCCCCGGCAAGGGCGAGGGTTCGGGGCCTCGGGGACCGTGTCCCGGAGCACGGGTGTCTGCCCGTTGGCTGGCCGGCACCCTGGGCTGTGGCCATTGGCCGGTGGGCAGTTCCCAGAGTGCACCAGGGCTCGCTCTGGGCTGCCGCCGGGGGCCTCAGGGTCCAGAGACCGGGGGCCCGGGTCCGGCCTGAGCAGCGGCTCTCTCAGCGAGGCCGAATGTCCGTTCGCACGGCCCTGTCTGTCTGGATACGTCCCGGCACGGCTCCGCCCCACGCTGGCGGCCCCCATCTCCCCCTCCTCGGAGCCACAGCCCCTCACAGGGCACACACGGCCGGGGCTGGCGGTCTTGGGTCAGAGGGTCCTCCCGGGGTGCCTTGTGCCCAGGATGTAGGGGCTCACCACCGCTGGGGACCGGGCCTGCACCCCCAGAGGCTGAAAACAGGCCAACCCGGCCCCTCGTGGGCCCCCTGGGAGGGTTCGGGTCCCCTCCTGCTCAGCCCCAAGGCCCTGGCCCACCGCCACGTCCCTGGCAGGCCCGGATGAGGCTGTCCAAGCGAGGCCACGGCCCTCAGCCTCCCAAGTGACAGATGGTGCAGGGCCTGCCCTCGGAGGCCCCGTCGCTCAGATCTCTGGTGGGGGCCCCGGGGAGGCCAGGACCGGCCTGGCCCACGGTGGGGGGTCCTGCCTTTGCTTTCCGGAGGGCCCAGCGATTGATGCCTTGACCTTCCCGAGGGACCGAGAGCCTGACGTCAGCCAGGGCCCCGATGGCCTTCCCCAGGGGCCGCCCCCGCCCTCCGCAGTCTGAGGTCCGGCCGCGTCCTTCCGATAGCCTGCACGGGCCACCATCCCCCCGGCCATGTGGCCTTGTAGCTCCGGCCCAGGCTTATCAGCCCCGGGGCCCGCACCCGCTGCCCGCTCCCTGGGGACGGCTGGGCCTCCGGGAAGCACCCTCACTCATGCCTGGGACCGGGCGGGCGGCACCGACCCCAGCAGCGTCACCGCAGGGGCCTGCCCAGGGCTCGGGGCGCACGGCAGAGCTGAGGGGCACTTGGGACTCGGAGCAGGGAGGGGGGCTCTGACCAGACAAGCCCGTGGCACCAGGAGGACAAGGGGGGCCCCTTCAGCTCCAGTCAGAGGCACACCCAACACCGAAAAACTGCCCCCTGCACGTGCTGACTGCGCCTGCATCACCTGCCCACCCTCACCTGCCCTCAGCGGCAGGTCCCTCGCCTCGCCTGGCCTCTCCGTGTGTCCCCTCAGGGGGGCCCGTTCCCTGCTTGCCCATCTGTCCTCTCCCGGTGCCGCTCCCACCCTTCCGACCCCCCCGGTGGTTCCCCTGTCCCCCTCTGTCCCAAGGACCCCCACGGCCTCTTCTTCTTCCTCTGAGACCCCACCCACCCCGCGCACCGACCCCCACTACTCGGGTGATGCGTCCCCCTCCTCCCCGGGACGCCCGAGAGAGGGGCTGCCTTCCCCGGTGCATGTGCCCCCCCCGTGCCGGTGTCCCCAGCCCCTTGGACAGCTCCAGGGACGGCGGCTGGGACGCAGCCCCTCAGGGTGCCCGTCCTGGGCTCGCAGGGCGGGTCCCTCCTGAGGCCGTGGCCCTGGCCCAGGGCGTCCCTCTGTGCACCTCTGTGTCCCCACCGCTCGCCTGGTGAGGACCCCGGTCACACTGGGCGAGGCCTGCACTGGGCCCCCGGCCACTGGGTCGCCCACCCACAGAGCCCCTGCTTCCGACCGAGGCCGCGCCAGAGGGCGCAGAGGGTCAGGGCTGGAAGGCGCCGGCGTTTGGGGCACCGGTTCAGCCCAGACGCTCGAGCGCCCCTCGCTCCTGCCCCCCCTGCAGCTCTGTCGGACCCCCTTCCCCTCCCGGGTCCTCGAAGTGCCCTTCCCACCACCTGTCTGCCTCGGCCGGCGTCCTGCCTCCAGCGCGACCCTCCCAGGGACCCCGCTCACAAGCCAGCCTTTGTCCCTGTCCCCAAGGGCAGCCCCGGCCGCCCCTCTGGCGCCGGAACCCTGCGTGCTGATGGGCAGTGGCCCCCCTCGCTCCGGCGGCCCGGCCGGTGCTCACGGCGCCGTCTGGGCCAGGCCTGTCCCTCCCCAGCCTGCCCTGCCCTGTGCTGACCGCTTTCCCTCCGTCGCTCCCCCACACTCCCCCGTGGCCACCCTGGGGTCTTTGTCCCCCGATGTCACCAGCATGTGGTCCTGACATTTCTCTTCCTGGGGACCATGCCAGCTGGGCCTTGGAGGACGCCTCACCTCCGTGCCCTGCAGCGGCACAGATGCCCCCCCCCCCCCGTCCAGCCCTGAGGGGTGCCGCGCCCGAGGTCAGCTCCCCGGTGCCTCCCTGGGCCCACTCTGACCCCCACGGAGCGTGCTCTGTCCTGGCTTCCGACGGGCTCGGTGCTTCTCCCGGGCACCCACTGTGTCACCGGACACCGCACCGGGTCTGGGGGCACCGGACGGGCAAGGCGAGGTCTCTGCCCCCCGCCCCCTCCCACCCCAGAGGCTGCGTGAATGCCAGCCGCCCAAGCACCCCACGGCAGGTGCCGGTGCCTCGGGCGACGCACAGGAAGGGCCTGGACTGCTGGACCTGCCGCCCAGCGGGACCCGGCCAGCCCTCTGGTGTGCGTGGCCGGCCCTTTGGAGGGGGGGCCGGCCCGTCCCGGGGTGGTGCCCCCGCCTCACCCAGGGCGGCCGGTCCCACCGAGGGGAGTGGGGGACGGAGGCGGGAAGGGGGGAAGGCCTGAGAAGGGCCCGGTCCAGGGAGGCTCCTCTGGAGTTTTCTGAGGATGGGAGACTCAGACACGAACCCCGGGTCGCAGGGCGGAGGGGCTGGGCAGCCTCCCCCAGGGCTGGCGGGCAGCGGAGTCTCGGAGCAGGCGGGGGGCCGGGGCCGGATTTCGAGGTGGGGCTCTCTCATTTCCGCTTCCTCCGTGAAGTGGGGGGGGGGGGTCCAGGTGACTCTGGGGAGCGGCGCCAGGCCCCCTGGCTCCCCGCAGGTCCCCAGAGCTCCTATCGATGGCATCCTTGGTGTGGCCGCTGAGCCTCCTCCACAGGACGGTGGTGGAGGGTGGGGCGCCATCCCCACTGTCACCCCACGGCAGGTGTGGGGCGGGGCCTGCAGGCTAGACACACGGCTGGGGGGCGGGGGGCAGGGGTGTCAGTGTCGGGGCGGCCACAGCGAGTCCCACAGGCAGGAAGTCTCCAACAGCAGGGAGGGATTGTCCCCAGGGCTGGTGGCTGGAAGGCCCCGGACGATTGTCCCCAGAGCTGGTGCCTACAGGGCCAGCCCCACCGGCCGGGGCCTGAGAGGCACAGGCTGGTCCAGGCCCCGCCCCCGGCTGCCGGGGGTTTCCGGCGCGATCCGCGGGCTTCCTGGGCTTGTGGGCGCACCACCCGGCCTCTGCCTTCAAGTCCCTCGGCGTTGTCCCCGTGCGTGTGTGTGTGTGTGTCTGTCCCCAGAGTTCCCCTTTTCAGAAGGACACCAGCCGTCTGTACGGGGACCCACCCCAATGACCTCATCTCAGCTGGTTACGTCAGCGCAGGCCCTGTTCCCAAAGCGGCACCCTCGGGGGTGCCGGGGGTGACTCTGGGGGACAGAGCAGGACCGGGAGGGACCAGGCCGCCGAGGGGCTGGGGACAGGCGGGGGCTCGGGCCGGAGCCCACTCTGGAGGGCCCTGGGGCCTGGCACACGCACGGGGCGGGGGGTCCGCGGGCTCCCTGGGCCTGCAAGGAGCGAGGCTATAGCTCTCACGCCACGTCGCATCCGCCTGGAGACGCACGCGGCTGAACAGAAGCCCCGGCTGGTTTCACCCTGAGCCTGGGATCGGAGAGCAGCAGTGGCCGCGTGGGGACCCTGCGTTGGGGGGCATCCACCCTCACGTGCTCTCCCCCCACCCCCACATCCTGCCATGGCCCCGAGAACTCTCAGCTGCGATGTCGGGGTCACGCTCACCGCAGGCCGGAGGTGGCCAACCCAAGGTCACGTCCTCTGGTGAGGCGCCTGGCGGGGGGCAGGGTTCCCGGGGGGGCGGGGCTCCGGGGATGCTGGCGGGAGGCTGGGGCCTTGCCCCCGCTCAGAGGGACCGCCGACCACCAGGGCCCCAGTTGGACGGTGAGTGGCACCAGGGACAGGACAGGCAGCAGGCCACAAGAGCCCCAGGGGCCCGGGGGGCTCCCCTGCGGCCCCGGGCCTGGCTCGGGCCTGCCCCTGGTGCCCAGGTGCATGTGGGACCTGGGAGTTGGGCCCTGCCTCCCGTGCCAGCTGGTGCCCTGGCTGGGCCCCCACCCCACGGATGAACACTGCGGAGATGCTGCCGGCCCCCACCCCCGGGCCTCTCCGCCGGCCGCCCCCTTCCCCTCCGGCCCCTCCAAGTCCCTTTGCTGGGAGGGCTCAGGCCCGCTGCTGGCCAGGGCCTGACGAGATGGCCTGAGGCTCCCCTCTTCCTGTCTTCCCGGCCCAGGGCCCAGGGGCCAGCCCAGGGCTGGTGGCTCGTCTCTGCCGCCCACCTCACTACTGCCCCAGCGTGGCCGGACGGCTCCCGGCCCGAGCCCGCTGGGGTGTGGCCCCCACAAACACTGATTCCTGCACCCCAGGGCTGGCCACTCTCAACAGGAGGGCGCCCAGGGTTCAGGCGGACTCAGGGGGTCCCTGCTTCCCTGCTCGTGCCCCCCAGGGGACCCCTCAGGCCCCGGAGCCTGCTGACGCTGACTGCCCCCCCGGGGTCAGTGCTGAGGTCGCTGAGCGGACGGTGAGGGGTGAGCAGAGGAGCCGCCGGGACCCCCAAAGCGCTCAGACAAGACCCGGGCGCACAGAACGTGGTCAGCGGGGTGGCGCACATCCCAGTCAGGGTGTCAGGGTGTCGGGGTGTCGGGGCAACGGCCCCGGGCGTGGAGGAAAGGTGTGTCTGCCCTGTGGGCACGTCCG